TCAGTCCTAAGACTGGTTGGACACGTACCTCCACTCTTTCCTATCCTGAGCTAAACTTCGCATTTCCCTAAAACTAGAACAGCCCACATCCTTAACTATTTGCGAAGAATATTCTAATCTAGGTCTACCTCTACCCCTCCTGACTCCTGTTTCTGCCTCTAATATGTCTCTGACTAGACCTTCATGCCATTTAATAAATTAAAGTTAATTATTTTGTTTTCATCTGGGCGTTTTTCTAGTGGTGCTCACATACCGATATGTCAAAATAATTTTAAATTAATATGCCTGCAATTACCGTGCATTTTTTTCAGATGTTTAGATGTTCCACGTAGACCAAGCAACATAACATGCTCGTCCTCTGGCAGTTCCTACCTAGAACGAAGAAGTTCCTCGATTCTGTTAGGCCTTCCAACAATTCCGATTCAAAGAAGTAACAGTCGGCGTAGACAATCATCTCCAGTTCCGGAACAAAGCGAATTCTACTACCCCATAGACATCAGAGTGATCCAGCCCACTCCTCGGGGATCGCCGTGCAGTAGCGAAAGAACACTGTTCAACACGCCTTCGTCACGATCACCTTACACCACCAAAAAAGCTCCACTCGCGTCCATCAGCAGCTGTAATACCTCCTTATCCACGGATTATCCGGACTTCGATGCCAACTCGTTTTATTCTGATGTGTTTCAAGACGATTCCTTCGTTGAAACTGAAGACGAAGCAGAGAATTTCTCCACGGACAGTGACTTCGAAAACGACGATAAAGAAGACAAGATACAAAAGAAAACAGCTGCCATGAAAACATGGAAAGAAAAGAGAAAACGGTTTGCAGCCAAATGGCGTACGACATCAATTGAAGATAAAGAAAGTTTCGAAGAAAAAAGTCCCGTCAGAAGAAAGAAGAGCGCGTGTGAGAGGCCATCTTATACTACTCCGTATTTAAGTGTGGATTTTGGTATTGAGACTAGACGTTTAAGTGCCAGTTGCGTGGAGTCTAACAAAAGGCCTAAGTTTAGCAGGAGAAGAACTAGTTTGAACGACAAACCTTTCGGGCCTTCCTACAAATTCCTAAGCATCGATAGACAGCCGAGTTTAGACGAAAGAAAAATAAATTTGACAAGCAGCTTCGATGCGAGTAATAAAAGTGTCGAAAAATTAAATTCGAGAACCCCATCGGTTAGTGATAAAGCAACCAATGTGAGTGAATCAAAATTAGTGGATGCGTATACTTGTGTGGATATTGTGGCTGATGATAAAGACCAAAGACGTGATCCATCGAGTTCGATCGACCTTTCGAAATCGGCTACGAAAAGACATTCTAGTTTGAGTTTACCATCTTCTTGCAAGTCTTCAGTGTCTTTGTTATCTCCGATGACTAGTGAAGAATCTGCAACTGTCACGCTCCCTACATTGCCATTAAGACAACGATCGTCATCTACCAATCTGGAGAAGAGAGCCAACTCTTGGTCACAGGAAACATTATTTTAAATTCTACACATACTCTACTACCTACTGAATGTATATTTTAGACAAAAGACTTTTTATCTATTGTGCCACAATTTTTCTCTAAAAGAATATTTCTAAAGGTAGTTCCAAAATACTAAAAAAAAAAAAAATACAAAATGAAGCTGTTAAACATATCAGATAATATTTTTCTACTGCAGATTTCCTTCACAAAATTTTGTATTAGTTGACCATCAGAGATGATTTTATCGATCTTACATTAGTGCCATCCCTTGCGATAAATATCGAATTTACGAAATAATTACGATTTTACTCGAAAAAAAAAAACAAAAGTATAATTTATAATAATTAAAAAATGAAATAAAAATAATAATTGTGAACGAATTATAGCATAACCAAATGTGTAGAAGTCGCTATACGTGTAAAGTGTAAATATTATATGCCTTCAAAATTTATAGGAAACTGTTGTTAAACTTATGTTGCTCATTAATAAATATTGTTGTCGTAAACATTACTTTTAATTTACATTTGGACTTCCAACATTGATAATGACTATTATTATATTGCCTAGAACAAACAGAATAGCTCAAACCCCCAACGCTAAAACACGACACTGTAGTTGTCCGAAGCACTTTTCGGTAAAACTCAGAGTTTTACTTCAGTCTCTGAAGAAGGTAACTTACCGAAAAGTGCTTCGGACAACTACAGTGTCGTTTTTTTTGCGTTGGGGTTTTGAGCTATTCTGTTTGTTCTACAACAACCGCCAAAGTTTTTCCAATCTTCATATTATATTGCCTGTCTACGTTTCGTAAATTTCACAGTTAATTCCTCAGAGCAGACCTGAAACTTTTCAAATTTGGTTCTCCATCACTTTCCTAAAAAGTGAGATTACAAACGAGGCACTTTGCCACAAGTGGCCCCACATTCCACTCATATATTCTAAGAATTTAGCAATTCTATAGTTTGACTTCTATTTTTTCTTGATTAGGAGCCTTCAAGATTCGCCGTTAGGTTTAAGCTAATTTCAACTTGTTTGATATCAAAATGCGTGGATGTCGTAAGGTGACGTGTTGTATTTTGCGAAACTAAAGGAAATTACTACTAAATTTCAGCTTCTTATTAACCAATTTTCAAAATTTCGCTCTTTACAATAATTTAAATTTGGTTTTTATTAAAGCGCGGTACAGTCTCGTAAGGTTGGATATATTGTATTTTAACCAAAATATATTTTTGCGAAATCGAAGGTAATGATTTGTAATTTCAACTCTTTTTAAATAATTTTCAAATTTGGACGCGTGAAATTTCACTTTACATTGATTCAATCAAAGAAGGATCTTTAAATTAGGCTCCCGTCTCATGACACCCCCCCCAAGTGGTCTCGCATTCAGGTTATATATTTTTTGTAATTGTTTAGGAATTTTATAGTTTGTCTTTTTTGGGTCCCCAGAAAGATGTATCGAGCCCTGAATGTTCAAGATCCACCCCTGTTGTATAGGACTCAATTACTATTTTAAAATAAAAAAATCGATCTTACTAACGATTTAAAAATTTCTTTACGGGTATATATTTTCTTATTAATTTATACTTATTTTATTTTTGACAATCTTTTTCTAATTTCTGAGTCTATTTCCAGTTTTCAAGAAACACACATTTCCAATAACAATGAACGTTCATTTGATCACATACATCTTTATGTATTTCAATTATTTATTTATAGATTAACTGCACTGATTGTTTTACGATTTTCAAAATATTTACGAACAGGTCTTGTAATAGACTTTTTATCTTTAACTGCTATTAATTTTATAAACAAGTTTTCACATCTTTTCGTTTCTTTTGTCATCTTTTAATAAAAGAAACGTCTACCATAATGTTGCAATCCTATTTTTATTGAGTAATTTTCGTGTATGTTATAGCTATTTCAAAATCTCATAAACCTTACTGCAAAAACATTGCCTATTACGAAATTTTGAGAATAAATAAGAGGTAGACATCAGTGAGCGGAGTATTGTCACTGCACCGCTCAAGGCTAATCTTCATGGAATTCTGAACAACCTCTACTCTTTTTCTGTTGTCTGAAATGTGTTTAATTGTTTTAGTTTTGTTACGATTACAATTTCTTAAACTCTCAATTCTATTCTATTTTCTTAATGACACTCCTTCCGGCAAGTTTAATTTCAACTTCATCGTTTACTAATTACCAGTACCTTGCGGTCTCGCTTAAAAAGTTTCACTTCAAAAAATACAACTGCAAACAAATATAAACTTTATTTGTTTAAATTGGCAGGAAAATACAGCATGTTAAGGAACTGGCAGCATACAACATCCTAATCCATCTACTCGCGGAATGTAATTGATACAAATATACGTAATGTGTAGTTATTTAAAGCCTTAGTATTATAAAAGGATTATTGTCATTTGATAATTGTTAATGGTGTATCATTAAAGGAAAAGCCAGAACAACATCTGTATACGTATTTGAAGAAAAATGAAGTGATGTAAGAGAAAATGCTATCACAAAATTGATCGGTTTCGTGTCGAAGCATCGTTATTTTCATTTTCGTTTGATGTAGTGATACAGATACAGATTGGAAGTGCTAGTAATGTTCAGCGTAAGGAGAATGCCTGATCCCAAACGAGTGAGCCGGTGGAATGTCCAATTGCACCTAGAAAAAAGCATCGTAAAAATATTAAGAAATAAGTTTCAAAAACGTATGTGTAATTTCTTTAATTTTGTTACACTGACAATTAAATCATCAGGTAATTGACTAGAGATCTACGTTTACCCTATGATGATATATTTTTTAATTATGCTATTCAAAATTAAGAAAAAACTATGTTTATATTCCAATGTTCGACACTCCCAGTAACAATCGCTTTTAAATTAAACCCCTCATGATACGTATGTGTAAGTATCTATAAAAAAAATTTTTGAAAATTAAAATTCATGATTTTGAGATTTTTTCCTTCAGTCTAATTTTGAAGATCTTAGCTCAAGTAAAAGTACACTTTAAGATTTGATGATGATACAAAGAGACAGACGACCAATAAAGTGGTCCTATACAAATTGGATTTTTTTTTAAATACGGAATCCTAACAACCGAAAAACGGATTTATTCTTTCATTAAATATAATTTTGCAGTGTTTTATATAGCAGTCGACCATTAATAAAATGATAAGTTTGTAAATAAAAATAAAAAATTCAAATCCAGAGACAGATCTGTTTTCCGATATTTTTCGAATTGGTAAAGTGCTGAAGAAATTTTGGAAATTCATATTCACTGTTTCTCTACTTTTTTATGATAATTTATGCTTAGACTAATTGTACCTACTGGTAGGTCCCGAAGATTCGAAGAATCTAATGGAACCTTATTGTTGCTACAACGTTGTGCGTTTGTCCGCTAATAAGGGTTTATCCATAAACCACGTAACACATTTTCCGTACTATTTTTAACCCTTCCTACTTACAAAGTAACGCCATTTAGTCCACCCCCATAAAATATTAAAAATATCCGAATCATGAAAAGTAGAAACAAATAAAAGCAGCTGTTTAATTAATAACAATTACTTTAAACAATATTAAAATAAGAAAACTGATAAAAACGTCGTTAGCCTATCGTTATTTGAAAACATTCTCTCACAACAAAGATTTGAAATGAAATAATTATCCGTCAGCAACTAGAGAAAAGTAAGTATTATGGTACTTATAGATTTATTGTTAATATTTGAAAAATTCTTGTCCTTTAAGAAATGGATACTGTCAAACAAATTATTTTTTATTGTGTTAAAACTGCTTTAAAAATGTTAATAAATAAAGCAAAATCATGTTACCATGCATTAGATCATTAGATCATTCGAAAATAAAATCTTCTAAAAAGAAGAATACTTACTTTATTTATTTAATAAAATATTACAATTATTATCATAACTGCATGACCTTTTGCATTAGTAAAAACGTTAAGATTAAATACAAACCTGCTAATAAATTTAAACAACTGTTAGTAAGCCCCTAAGATTACATTAACAAGCTTGTTTTATCTTTAGTCAGTCCAGTTAACGTACTTCCCAAAAATGGGGAATGTCGTATACCAAATGAGTAAGCAGGTGCATGCCTTAAATGAACCTCCACCTGAAAATAGGTCATGACTATACATTAATAGATATCGACATTTTTTTGCCTCTGATGGCTCAAATTTCGGTTAATGTCAAGGTGCCTAATATTTAGAATAAGACTTTAAGGATGTTTGGGAAGTACAATCGGAGACAAGAGGACATAAAATTAGAAATTCGTGATTAATTAGGTTTTGCAGCATATCATGAGGTAAATAAATACTATCTATGTTAAAAAAAAAAGTATACTGTTTGAGAGAAAATTTGGAATTTGACCAAAAACTGAATAAAATAAGAAATAAGGAATAATATGGAAAAATTTTTAACTGACTTTTGGCAGTGAATATGCCTTGATTTCAACTTCGAAACAAACAACTATTTAGTTTCAATCTCTATTAATAATGAGCGTAAAACTTTTTAATACGTTTAAATAATAATTAAAACTTTAAAATTGCATTTATTTCAGACAATTATAAATATTATCATTATATTATCAAGTAAAAACGAGATTTTCAGCTAATTTTTCATGTTTTCCTCGATAACCATTTAGTGAATTTGAATAACCTTATAGGTACTAAAGTGATTCTCCAGAGTTCAAGTTATTTATTATAAAAGTTTGAAATTTCTGGTAGCTTTTCTTCTATTAATAAAAATTAATTTAATCTGTTCGGTTAACGAATCTCCATAAAATGACGTGTAAAATTACAATTTTTTTTAAATTTCAATAACTTTTTAACGGTTTAGTAAATCGATTTGTAATTTTTACAGGAATTTTAGAATTGAATGAGGAACGTTCATCTAAATTTTTATTTGTCTCGTAGCACTTTGACATACCCCCCAAACATCCTTAAGATATTCCTTTGTTGTAACCCAATACGCTTTTACGTACCTTTTCCGGTGAGTAAACGCCTGGTCCTGGTACATTCAGATGATCACACGGTATATTAGTTCTTCCACTGATAGTATAAGACGGGGCATGTTCTTTGTATGTAATTGGGTCGACATTATTATAAGATCCGGGCCCTGGATTCTTAACTCTTTCGTCAACCAGATCTTTATTTCTTCCCGATATGGTATAGGCTGGTGCAGATTTTTTGTCACCCAAGGTGTTCGGAATATTGTATACGTTGGGCGCTAAAAGCCACACTTACTGATTTTAAATTCGCCAAAACAAAGAAAAATAATATACAGAAATGGATGCAAGTAATATTGCTTACCTTCCTATAAATATACGAAGTCAAAATGCAAAGTGAAAATGTAACGTTATTGAGAGACTACGTGTGGATCAATTATTTAGTTAACAACAAGTAACATGTGTAGCATGTAGGGGAAGACCATTTGGGATTTAAAAGAAATAGAGGAACACGAGAGGTCATTCTAGCTTTACGGGTAACATTAGAGAAAACGGTAGAAAAAATAAAGAGCGCATACATAGGATTTATAGATTTAGAAAAAGCATCTGACAATGTCAAATGGGACAAGATGTTGAATATACTTAAAAATGTAGGGGTGAGATCCATGATACAGGGACAGAAGAGTGATACATAGATTGCATAAAGAGCAACAAGCAATTATAGATCTTGGCAAGGATGTAGAGGAGCAAATATTAAGAAGGGCATCACACAAGGATGCACACTGACACCGCTACTTTTTAATCTACATCGTTAAAGACAGGACAATTGTACGGATTGATATACAGGAACAAAAGATTATTATGCTCGGATTTGCAGATGATATAGCTGTATTAGCATCTAATAAGGAGGTGTTAGAGATACCCTTAATAAAATGGAAGCGATATTGACAAACCAGTACAGTATTGAAGTAAAGGTAAAACAAAAATATTGGTAAACAAGGGAAGAAAAAGTAGGGAAAAAGAGAATATAAAGATAGGAGCTGACAAATTAGAAAAAGGTACTTATTTAGGTAACTAGGAAGTCTAATTAAGTCAGAATGGAAGAAGCGGTAGAGATATAAAGTCGATGATAGCGCAGGGTCGAGTCGCCTTAAACAAAAAGGCGATATACACTGTTAAAACAATATGATTGTGGCGTTCACCCTACTTCGCCACACTTATCGTTAAAATGATAGTTTTCTTGCGTTGGAAGTAGCTTATATCTTATTTTCTATATTACAAGTAAGTAGTACTTTCACTACTGTTTGAATTGGTTCGTATAGACTATGCCGATGACGTATACGTAATCTCTCAACAATTTTACAGTATGTGTATGGAATGTTAAAAAAAATAAATGTTCCTCTAATACTACCAGCGATATTTTACCCTACTGTACAGCTACAGAAAGCAAAAATTTTTGTGATCTTGTTCTAAAGTTAAAATAAAAAATATACTTTGAATAAATAAATGTATGTGCCTGGTGTTTTCAAACTTGTTGACTTTCAATGTTACTTAAAGCAGTTAGTATTTGGAATGGTTTTCTTCCAAACGATTCATTCAAATTTTAAAAATGTTTTTATTTTAATGAGTACAACTCTCAGTTTTATTATTATTGCCACATTATCATGTAGGGTACGGAAGAATTACACTATATAAATACACTCTTACAAAATTGTTTGAATTTCTTCCGTATTAGGAGTTACGACTGAAATATGCTTTTTCCATTTTAATTAAATGCAAGATGAAAGACGAAATGAATGATGATGATGAAATATATAATATATTCCAATAATAAAAAATAAAATACCATCAGTTCTCAGAAACTAACCGGGTGCTTCTGTTGTAGATTTAGTCAAAGGTTTCCTTGCTATAGTAAATTTAGGCGAGTTGTTAATCCTGGGTATGTTATAGGCGTTGGGAGCTAAGGTGTTACAATAATTATTAATATTAAATTATTTATTAGTCGAACGGTTATGTAGTATTTTAATTTAGCCACAGATAACATTTGATTTTATTATTTCTTTTACCCAAAATATTAACTAAACTAACCAGGGCTGTCAGACGTTCTAACTATTTTTGTCCTCATCCCAAAGGAGTACCTCGGTACACCGTCAAATCTACGGACGTTATATGCATTAGGGGCTGTTAAATAAAGAGTTAAACTTGTTAAACCGTTCACATGTAAAATAAAGTGTGTATTTAAAAGAAAACTAACCAGGTGTGTTGGGAATTTTATCTATACTGTTTCTGGAACCGAAGGAAAACATCGGCGACTTTTGCAATCCATTTACATTGTAGCTATTAGGTGCTGAAGGTTAAAACAATTACGTGTTATATATATTGCCATTGTGGAGCTTGTTATATTTAATTTATGAAACGTGTGTTTCCTTTTGTGTATGTTATATTGTAGGTATCTATGTTACATCAATTTTTTCAACATTCTCATTAAAATTTATGAAATTTAAACGGGCCTACGCGCACAGATAAATAATTGAAGTTAACGAATAAAATTTATTTACAATGAAGACGCTTATAATGAGTACCACATTGCCCTTGCTAATTGCTAATCCCGTTCTTGTAAAAATCAAAATCTAACTCTTTTGAATTTAATTTCTTCAGCGTTGCATAATTTTTAATCATAAAATTGTCGTTTAAGAAGAAACCGACTGCAAATCTCGTAGTATAAAAAATCTATTGAAAAAAGTTTAATAATGAGAGGATCTATAAAAAATCATAAATATACACAGGGTGTTTATTAAATATGCGGTAAAATTTCAAAGGGTTATTCCCGTGTTGTTCTAAGATGATGATTTTTGGAAAATCATTCCGTTTCGTAAATCCCTGTGAGGTAAAGCGAATTTTGATATTTTAAAAATGATTATGATGAAGGTGTAGTCGAAATTAAAGTAATGGCTTTCTCAAGAAGTGCAATGGAGAATTTTCACAATAGCCACATGGTAAAGGCTGAAAAAATCCACATGAGATAGGTGTAAACTTATATTTTCATTATCAGTTTTTGTTTAAAGTTTGGATTAAAATTGTGATCGGCTAAATGGACCGATATTCCTATCAGGAAGACTTACTGGTCAGGTATATTGAAATATTTTGGAACAAAATGCAGGATTAGCTGCATGCATCATAGTTGATGATAGTCATTGTTAGCAGTTCGTATAGATCTTGTGGATTAAAAAGCTTTGCATGTAATAGGTATATGGACAGAGAATAGTAGCATCCAGATAATTTGAATCCAAATCCTTTTGGGGAAAATGTATCTATTATCCATAGCTGTCAGGTAAAATATGGTTGTGGTGGTTCGGGTAAAAAAGATGAGATAAACGAAATGAAAACAGAAGAGGGTGAAGGATTATCCGTGAATTATTACTGCCCTGGACCAAGGCAGATGGACCCAGAATCGAACCAATGTCTTCCCGAATGCTAAGCAACTGTCTAAATCTCTAGGCCTTGCTGCTCAGTATCGGGATACAGATATTTAAGATACATTTTGTAACTGAAAGTATCCCGTAGGTAATAAAATATTGTTATACTCGATAAACACTTATCGCTCTCTATTTTCGATACATAGCGATTTTCCAAAAATCATCATCAATCAAGGACCAAATAACAAATCCAATGTAATAACCCTTTCAACTTTTGCCGTATATTCGGTAAACATTCTGTACAATTAAAAAGCGCTTTGTTTGGCAAAATTTCGAATGGCATATGATATGAGAAGCCCAATAATATTATTAATTAATAATTTCAGTTTCACATTAAATATTTTTTAAATGCACTTTTAATTAAGCGAATTTCTAACGTAAAATGACTTGTACTGACATTTTATCTTTTTTTTTTTTAATTGATATTGCAACTAAAAATTGTTAAATATTCCCGTAAGTTGAATGCTATTAAATATAAAACGTAAGACAAGCTAAATTAACTATTAACAATAGTGGCAAAGACGTATTATCAAGTGATGTAAGAAACATGATTACCTTTTACTCTGACTAATCCGATGATTACCGTTAATGCAAATAAAGGAACCGATTATGTTAATATTAAAATAGCACCTAATTTTATTTAATCACCTTTACTGACTATTTACAGTTTGGATATAATTTTTTCATATTAGTTTTAAGCAAAAAAGGACACAAAACAACAACAAAGTACCTACTCAAGAAGTAGCTAAAACAAAGAACTGTATATATAATAAAAATAAATAAATTACGGTGGAGGTGCTGGGCGTCATATTAAAAAAAGGAAAAAAAAGCTATTTTTGATAACTATTACTTTAGAAAGATGGAAACCACAATATAACATAAACAATTTTGAAGGAAATAAAAATAATAGAACTGCTGCGGGTAAAGCAAACTATGTTAACAATAATAATCGTCTACTGAAATACCTGGTGTGTCGAGAGGTTTTTCCCGGTTGGTCTTCAAGCCAAAGGTATATTTTGGAGCATTATCGTGAATAACTTTTTCTGCTTTATCAGGATTATAATCGCCAGGGGCAGGGGTGTTGTCGCCTTTGCAATCTTTTGGACGGCCATGGAGACTTGCTGCTTTGGGGGTGTCTTTTCCTATAATTTAAATGAGGTTTCCAGAGGACATTGTTCCAAATAGTTTTGATTAATTGAGTAAGTATTTTAATTTCAGACGGTTAATAACAGATTCTTTAAAGATTTTCCGAAAACGACTTTTTCATACTACTTAAACAATAATTCTATGTGTTTCTTGATATTAAAATTATTCTATGAATTTTTGGTAATTTCGTAGGTACCTTTAGCACTTAAACCGGTAACGTTATATTGGCCCGGTCCTGGACCAATGGTCTCCGTTTTATCGTTGTGCCTGTTGCCGAAACTGAATGCAGGAGCTCGGCCAGTCTTTGAATCCAAAGGTCTTGTTCCTGAAAAAATAATCACCATCGCTTTATAGTGTTTATGACAAACATCCACATTTCGTAAATAATAAAAAAAGGAATAACAAGATACGTAGATTGGTTATTTCTATTTGACGGTCAAAATATGCAAATTCCTTTTTTAATCTATTAAGGAATTAAGGAATATATAATCAGATGTTTTCGTCTTTCGTTTTACAGCCTAGTCATTTTGTACAAAAAAATGCGAAGCTAAAAAAATTTCCAACCCTGAGGGTCTAAATTTTTCCCAGACAAATTTGAACCTGATGGTACCTAATATACCCCGAGTAGATGATATTGTGCAGATGTTGCTGTAAATGGATAATGACACATTTGAACAGGCTTGTTTAATTAAATAATTATCAGTTGGTTTCATTTCTTTGGAAAATGAAAAGTGTGTCAATATTTATTTTGCAAATTACTACTAAGGGTCCTTCCGATTGTCATTATGACGAAGAGTCCATTTTATGAACATCTCAGACAGAAGTTATGCTGGTATATGTGAATAAACGATGTTCCAATGTATACACACAGGTCTTCTTATCGATAACTCATCACCATATTTACCCAAATTTATATTACAAATAAAAATTTTTAAATTAGCCAAAATCAACATAAAATCGATAATTTGCGAGATATTTGAGAACAACTGACTGATTTTCATGACCTTTGACTATCTGCAATTTTTATTGGCTTTATGAACTTTCGAGAAACTATTTGTAATGAACGAAAAAAAGTTCAAGAGCAACACAAAAAAATTTGTTCGTTTTTTTACCAATAGTTGACGGTAAAGAAACTGAAGCCGGCCCTGGACTGGCAAATTCTGCAGCTATGGGTCCTCGCCTTTTCGTAGGTGTCCAAGGTCTTTGCTGAAATCCACCCATTTTCTTTCGTGTTGTCTCTTTAACAAATCATAATAAATCGTTAAAAGAGGCAGAGACGTAAATAACTAATTGTACTTCTATAAAAGTACATAATTGGTGTCTCTATTGTCTATTATATAAATGATCGTTGATCAATCAGGCTTAATTGGCATTAAACATTTAAACACCAACGTCAGAAATAAAATAAAGATAGATGAAGTCAGCTTATTAATCTATTTGAAAACTTCAGGGGATATTATATATAGTTTTTCAATTTGAATGTTTAAAAGTTTGTATGATACAAGATGTCGATCGTAGCCTATGAGAGGCAATCTCAATTTTTCCAAATAAATAAGATGAAAAATGTGCAAATTTAAAAGATGATTAGAAATTTATAATAAATAATCATCTGCATTCACGCAAACAAAAAAAGGTTGTCCTAAAAATACATTGCAGGAATTAAAAAGATGATTGATGTTTTTAAAAAAATAAATAAATATGAGCAGTTTTCTTTTCCATTCAGCAAGGATTTGAATGTGAAGCATATCTATTAAAAAAAAGGTCAGACTCTTTTCAAATGGAAAACAAGGCGGTTNGTTTTCTTTTCCATTTAGCAAGGATTTGAATGTGAAGCATATCTATTAAAAAAAAGGTCAGACTCTTTTCAAATGGAAAACAAGGCGGTTGAAGATGAAATAAAAACTTTACAAACTGACATAATCAATAAAACCAAAAACGAAGAAAATTTTTGGAAACATCCCAATATCACCAAATCGAGCTAAATTTATTCTTATTTTGGAAATATGTACATACTAATGTGATTCGACTATTTTATATTTAAAGTTAACAAATATTGCACAACCGATTTCCATATTTATAATTCATTATTATTATCTTGGCATGCACCAAATTATAATCGATTCCTTGGTTAGAAGCAGGCAGCCACACGATTCTCAATTAGGGGCGGCCTTAGCCTTTACAAGGCTCCAGGCGAGTAGATCATTGCAAGGCCCTTTTCTTTGTGGAATTAGTTTTAATGATGATACACAAATATACCAAATTATTAATCATGATAAACTAAGGTGCATTAATGTCTTATAAGAATCAGGGATTCACAGCGAGGCCCTGAAAAGTTGCTGTGCTCTCCACTCCCTAAAGCCGCCCCTGTTCTCAATGATAACACGGTAAAAAAACGTATAAACCTACATTTCTTTTGTAGTTACTCCCTAATCAACCTTTAGTTAAGTGCGTGAGTCTTTCACGGTCACAATTTGCAATTTTCAGCATTTGAATCTCTAGACTCTAATCTATTGTCAGCAAATAATTTTGAATGTCTGTTAAGTTATTCCTTTTATTTGTTATCCTTGGAGGCTAAAGAAATGATGTAAACATATAAATAACAATCAGTATTGATTTTACCATAACAATAACGTCAAAAGTAGAATGTAATCCGGTGAAGATGATTAATGATGGTGTACCAAAAAGCTCTGCAAAAAGGAAATTCTTTCTCAATCGAAAAGCAGTTAAAAATTAATTTTCGATAAACTTTTACATTGTAATTAATCCCTTTAATGAAGCAAGGCCTTACAAAACTAACAAAATTGGTTTAGGTATATTTCTGACTAAGACAGTAATATTCTTTAATTAATTCATTTTATCTGCTTAGAACTTTCAGAAATAATTACAAAAACGACATCTCCGACAAGAAAATCATAACTGCGCCAAACTGAAGTAATAATGATGTGCTTGTTGGATACTTTATCTTATACATCATAAATGATAGAAAAGTGAAAGCATTTTAATTAGTGTGTTGCTTATCGATTTGTCTAAATCGTCCGATAGTTATAAGCTAGGCTTTATTTATATAAACCAAAATGGCAGCCGTAAAATAAAAAATGGTGGTAGAGGTCGTAATTAAAAAACTAAATTTCAAAAATAAAAATAAAAAACCGACTGCTAAGGAGAACCGTCGCCCATTGTTGTAAAAATAGGTAAATGAAATAAAATAAAAATAAAAATAAAATGCGCCAATGATAATTAGATAGCTATAACCGAAAAATCATCAATTCGAACAATTTATAAGTATTAATTTAAAATGTCATTTGTATAATAAATTATATATGTCAAGGTAATAAATGAAGCGCACAAAATTTTATGTAATTTTTTTCTCGTTTTATGTTGCTAAGCAGGCGCCTGTATTGTGCTCTATCCTTTATTGTCCTTGACGTTGGTTACCATTAAATGAACAAAAATGCAGATTGTATTTTTCTACTAATTAGCATAGACGCGGCACTCTCAACGCTTTATTTCATTGCGGTTACTGTTATTGTAAATATTAAATATCGACAATAGACATGAGGTATTTTTACTGCTCACTTAAACTTATCTGATATAAACTGAAATACTGAACTCCGTTTAAAACAGATGTAACAGAAAACTAAAAAAATTCGACTGCACTTGCAGGATTCGAACTCATGTAGGTACTCCGGCGTGGTAGTCATACACCATAGTCATTAGGCTATTTACAGATAATGATCTCTGAATTTTTCTAGAAATGAGTCGTAGGTATACCCATTCTTCGCACCCATAAATATTGTAAATTTTCAAGAAAGCGATTGAAAACAATCATACAAATATTATTTGTGTAATAATATTTTTCGAAAAAAAAAAAAGCAAAACAAATCACCTTAAAACCAATTGAAATCAAGTATCTTTTCCGTTTCGTTACCAAAAAAAATAAATAAGTACTAAGTAACTTATTTTGCTTTTCACCAATCAAACAGTTATTTGTTATACGTATCTATCTACGCAGAAGAGGTGAAATTTATTTGTTTATTCCTTTGTATGTAGAAATTAATTTTTCAAACTACTAAATCGATTCTAAAACTTCTTCGGCTAATATAAAACTACACCATCCCTGAATAATATGGGTCATTTTGATAAAAATAATCATTTAGTTCGAAATACGAATACATATTGTTGGTTTAGAGACGTGCGCTGACCAAATGGTTTATTAATTTAATAATAATATTATTAAAGAAAGTATTTTTCATCAAATGCACATTTAAATATATGTATATTTAAATACAGATAAAAATACTTTAGAAAGTGTTTGAAATACTAGAACAAAAATTACAGTTATACTGTATTTAGATATACTTATATCCATAAATAAATTTATTTATTTAATCTCAGTATGATACGTAACAATAACCTGAAAATTGAAGGGGTAGTTTTAGCCAAGGAGCATTTACTGGTGCAGTTAGAAATATCAAATGTTGATGTGAAAATGGGAAATTGAAATATCTTAAAATTGTTTTTGAGAGTCTGTGTTTCTAATTTACACAACCTGCATATTTTCTTCCCTTGTTCTTCTTCCCAGTACCTTGCCGTTCTATTCTCGATTCCCAATCTAAATATTGCTGTTAAAACTAATTCGTTTTTACTTTTTGCTCTTTAGTCTTTTAAACCATTTCGTTCTTCTTCCCTTTCTTTCCATATTTTTTAATTTTCTCATTTTTTCTCCTCTTTTATGCTTATCAATGTCATTAGTAAAACTTTCCAGCTATTTCCATACACTTATGTTTTTTTCCAGTTTCCATCTGTACTGCATGATCGCCAATCCATTTTCCATTAAAAAACGTTTTCTTTCTTCTGATTTCCTTTTCTTCGGTTTGAATATTCGATATATTATCCTTAACTTTTATACATTATTTTAATCACATATTGTCTTCTAAATTTAACACCTTTTCTTCGTACTTATCGAATATTTAATGGTCAATTTTATTGGTTTTGTTTCTTCTAGTAATAAGTATTTTTTATCTACACAACATATGTAGCATACAGCAATATTTAAAATTATCAATTTAAATGCTAATTTTGAAGAACTGTTACAAGTTGCAGTTTCCGGAAGTGTTCTATAGAACTTTTTTATCTGCATTGCCCACTCTTTGTTTTCAAGAAAAGTCTACATATAACTAGAATATAAATCATTGTATCTATCACTGCCTAACACGTAGGTCGGTTATCTATATGTTTATAGTTAATATTGTAATTAAAATGCTGAAAGCATTATACGAGGTTTGCATTTTTTCTTTTATTATTTGCAATGCCTACGCATCGCATTTATAACTTTCTCGAAACTAGAACATGGGCAGCGAGAAGTCAATAATAGTAAGGTGGTAAGGTTGTACCATGTGGTACGAAGGAATTGCGATATTTCAATGCGAAACGTTCCTTTGTACAATTTTCCGAGTTTAAACAATCGATATTGCATGACAAAAATTTTCCTCCAAATTATTATAATGAAAATCGTTTAGTTTGAGTAATAATGGTTTAATTTAAACACCCTTATGAGTTGAAGTTTTCGATTGAAATGTAATTGAATAGGTAAAATATAGCTGCACAACACGAAATAAACTAACGATAAATAGGTCAATCAAGAAAATAAGAAAATAATTCAATTTGTTTTCATTATAAGTACAGGATTACTTGGCATAACTTTTAAGTGATTGAATATATATAATATTAATTGAAAATTCTTTCGATGCTGTTGTTACTTTGTTGCGTATTCAAGGTATTTTTAACTAGATAATTAAGTTTGAAATACAGAAGTGCAAATATGAATATGTTGCTATAGTCTATACAAACCTTTGAATTTGTATAGTCAAGAGCAAAATGGTATTTTAGTCCACTTTGTCTTCCTTCCATACCAGTACTACCCCAACCCTCCCAAACTGCATACCGAACTTTATATCCTGATTTAAATAAATTCCAACAAATTCGTTTGTTTTTAATTGTAAATATACTACCCCTTTAATGATATTTTGTCTATGTTTTATCGAGACTGCCTATTACGTGCTGATGAGATCTAATAAAAACGAAATCGCAACCCACTTGTAATAGTTTATTCAGACAGCTGGCCAAAAACGTATTCTCTTCATAAATAAATAATCAAAAACAAGTCAACAATTTAATATTTTTTAGTCCTTTAAACTTCAAAGTGACATGACAGTAAGAAGAAAGTCGAAAGAGTGAATAAAAAATAATTTAAACTACTTCACGAAGTACGTTTTTATATTGTAAACTTGTAAAATTGTAAAATTGTTCTTTAGTTACAAAATATCCAATCCACACAACAAAAATTATAAATAAGTCAGTATCACCCAAAAGTTAATAAATATTTTGAAATAAATAAACTATTATCTTTGAAAAATGCATTAGTACATATAATATGCAATGTATTATCAGTTGTTTATAACAATTTGACTGGTGAGGCACACTTAAATTTTAGTAATATTGTTATTAAAAAAACAGGTGCAACTCGGTCCACGTGAAAGAAGTGAAACTTCTTTGGCGATCTCGATACCTTTATAACGAATAAGTAATGATTGGTGAATGAGAGAGTACGAGAATTTTCAGGATTTATGTTTTCCAGCATATTTTATCTTTAGTCCACCCAAGGAGTATTACTTTAATGCGTTTTTATGTAATTCAATAACAAAAAAATGTGCTTAACTATCTATAACTAAGGAATTGGAATTTTTACTTCAAAAACATCAAAACCTGTTGTAGTGAAATTGAAATGCCATTTCATTTGTAACTTGTAAGGAAATCGTTTAGGTGAAGTAAAAAGACATACTTTCTATATAATAATGTAACGTAATTCTATTCTGTTAAAATGATATCCTACACATACAGAAAAAAATAAGAAACTCAGGAAGATTCTTCTTTGTGAAAGCATATGTATCTTATTTCGAAAAGAACTGGCACCTTTGGTCGTTTTATACCATAACGTAGAACGGAAATTGTTTTTAAATAAAGTAATTTCGAAAACTTGTATTATTACTACTACAACCAAAAAATCAAACTAAATTTAAGCCACAGCCTTTAAACAAAAATTAACGCAGAATTTCATTCTTTTCTGTAGTATGTATTTCTTAAAATTCTCTATATACTTGGATTTTTGGCATCCAAATTTCGAAGACAAAACAAAAAAAAATTGAATTTTTACTAAGTACATTTTTCGTCACGAATTAAGTGATTTATTTATTTATAATTCTACATATTTTGCTGTTGTTTTTCGATGTAAATTTTTTAAACATATATTACTTGTACTGTGAGTTTCTCAAAAGATTATTCAAGCTAGGATAACCACTATTTCATGCAGTTTGCTACCATAAAGTAGAACTTTAGAACAGTCGTTTGTTTAAAAAGTTTAGACTGGGTGCAACTGCAATTAACTTTAGTTGCTTACTGTCCCTTTGCCATTATACAAAAAGTATAAATAAATAAACCATGGATAAAGAATTATATCGCAATACAGGATTCGTCAATTTTATAAACTCAGTATTTGTTACAGTATTTCAAATACTTTTTGATGAATTTATAAATGCTTTTTAAAAGGGTATATTTGAATTTATATTTAAAAACGCATTTACTAAAGTTACCAAACTTTCCCCTAATTATAAAATAACAAAATTGTCAAAATAGATAAATATAAAAATCAAGAATTTGTATAATAATAGCTGTGATGTAATATACATAGGACAAAATGAACGCAATTTTGACATACGACTTAAAGAGCATAAAAAGTATATTATTGATATCACACAATCGCGAGGCCTATCACAACGTTGTAGTTTCCGAAATTCTGTTAAAACTCTCCGAAGATGACGAAAGAAGTCGAAACGATTGATAGAGGTTGCCTAATAAAACTATAAAACTAGCGGACCGTATTTTTTTTACGTTATTAAAATATTTTACAATTTCACTACCGCGGAATCTATCAATTATATTATGTTTGTTCGTATTGTATTGTATTAATAGATGTTCGTTCAGAGCAAATAAACAAAAAGTTAGCACTTTTCTTGGGCACATATGCGAAACCGAAACGGTAATCATTTCGAATACAAAGTTCGTAAACATGATTTTATCCAAGTTTTACGCAATAATTCGTTTCTATATTTGTCGCTGATCGAATAACCAAAAGTGTACTTGTTTTCGAACGTTCTGCGACCTGTTACACATCGACTGGCTTATACTGTATATGGTCATACGTGAAAACGAAACAGAAACTGGTTTATCACTTGAATCAAATCGCGTTAAGTACAAAGATTAAACACTAATGGAGGTTAATATGCTTACCTATGTATGTATGGACAATATGTAAAGCGCGAGACCTATTTTTAAACATTACTAATAAGAGGTTGTTGCAATTTTATGGAGGAATATGCTAATTAATAAAAGGTGTCATGAAGCAACAATAGTAACACTTGTCAGCATGCGGATGCGGTACTAATACCTTACACCCTACAGTATTGGAGAAAATTGGCATAAATAAATGTTTCCCTTCGTTTCTTACTATGGAACATTTGTCGAATCATTCCAAAGAAAATAGTTTGAAAAAAGTTTTAAGTTTCTGGCAGTATATTGCCATTTATACGTAAATGTTTATTGATTTATTTTTAAAATGCATTTTCGTCAAAGCACATTCTTGGCAATATTTCAAAATGTATACCACTTACGCAAAAGAAAAGAAACATAAAGGACGGTTGATACTACAACATCATCCCCAAAATGCTCATATAAGTTGATAATACTTGTAACGCTAACTACTGAGAAGTAAGCGGTTTGAAAAGATTCATTACTGTTGCAAAAACAGTTTTTGAAAGAAAAACGATATGAAACGTCTTAGATATTGTGGACCAACTTCTGAATTTTCATTTAATTTTAAAATACTTCATACTTCTTTGTTTCTTAAAATTGTAGTAAAATTGTGTAGTTAAAACTAGTTTTAGTTTTCCTAAATTTAGATATTAATGTTTAAACAGTAGGTATTTAACTATTTGGAATTTACTTCTCTAATAAAAAAATAAGAAACTTATTATAAATATTAATGTACCACTCAAAAAAAAAATATTTGTTTAAAAATAAAATGCACCTACATTAACTTTTCAGCAATTATTTTTTAATAATAATGGTTAAAAACAAAATTATGGTACCAGGGATTAAACACTAAAATAGCCGAAAATAAACGCATTATTAATAGCTTATTATGTATCTCAAAGTTGGTCTAATTTTTAATCCGTTAATGAATGAATTTTCGAATATCTTTTACAAGAACTGATGATTATTTTAAACCAATAAGCTTTATACTTAAACCTATTAATAAATAATTTTCTTTTTTTACCGTAATTCAAACTTCTGACATACAGTTTCATTTTTAGTTTTATTAATATTATATGAATCTTGAGTCCAGTTACTTTTTAAATATACCCTGTAATCCTGATGATTATTTTAAACCAATTATCTTAATGCTTAAACTTATTCATAAACAATTTTCTTTTTTTACCCTAAATCAAACTTTTAACGTACAATTTTTTTTTTAGTTTTATTAATACTATATGAAGCTTGAGTCCACTTACTTTTCAAATAACCCCTGTAATCCGCTTAAAAATCGAATTTACTGAGTGCACTGTACCACTACTCTCAGAGACGAGCGCTAGTCTCAACAATGTTTGTATCGAGAATGTTTTGGAAAACGGCTTTCCCTCAGTAAAACGTAAAATCAACAAGGAAACACCCCTCCAACTCGCATGCGCTAAAAACGTATCAAGATATAACATAAGAGAAACCTACACTAGTTTTTAAACTTGACCATTTTTGTGTTTTTCTGCTACCAGTTAGATACACCTACGATTTGGTTTACAGTAAATATCTCTTTAGATTGTGTAAAGTTACATATTGAAACACTATTACATGAGTATGTGATCAACTTTTTTCTTTCATTATGCAAATTGGGTAGTTTTCGGTTTATGTTGCTTTTCTCATTTTTACTTTCTAAATATATGACAGAAAGATTTGAATAGTTCCGAATCCTTAGGGTAATTCTTATACATTAAACGCTCCGTGGGTAGGTACTTCCCCGACCATTAGTACGTGCACTATCATAAAAATTGCTTTAAAAAATTCTTAGTACACAAAATTTACTTACTTTTTAGGATAGGTAGACGATTCTATTAAAAAAAATAAGTTACTTATGGTAAAGGCTTTCGCGGCCAATAGATGAACTGGTGCTGACCCGTTTCGAGTCTAAAGACCATCGTCGTTTGGAGTTCGAGTGGAACAAGAGTGGCGAGCTTCTTTAGGGATCCTTCCGTCTCCAATGTGCCTACATCCACCATGGATATGAAAGGGCCTTTTGCATTCTTTGTACTATCTTCCCCAATGTTAAATTAGAACTGTTTCAATGAAAGCGACCATCATCATCATCATCATAAGGTCATCAGTCCTAAGACTGGTTGGACACGAACCTCCACTCTTTCCTATCCTGAGCTAAACTTCGCATTTCCCTAAAACTAGAACAGCCCACATCCTTAACTATTTGCGAAGAGTAATCTAATCTAGGTCTACCTCTAC